CCTCCTCTGGAGTTGCCGGCGGTGAGAGGCGGCGGGCTGGTGTGGGCTTGCTCATAGCCCCCAAGCTTAGCCGCCATGTGTTGGAGTTTACCATTTCCCTGCACCTTCGGGTCGGGAATAGGTCTATCACTGCCATTTGTGTCTATGGGCCCAATGGCAGTGTAGAGTACCCAGTCTTCTTGGAATCCCTGGGAAGGGTGCTGGAAAACGCTCCGACTGGGGACTCCGTTGTTCTACTGGGGGACTTCAACGCTCATGTGGACAGTGACAGTGACACCTGGAGGGGCGTGATTGGGAAGAACGGCCCCCCTGATCTGAACCTGAGTTGTAATTGGACTTCTGGCCTAGCCACAGTTTGTCCATAACAAACACCATGTTCAAGCATAAGGGTGTCCATCAGTGCACATGCCACCAGGACACCCTAGGCCGGAGGTCGATGATCGACTTTGTGGTTGTTTCATCTGACCTTCGGCCGTATGTCTTGGACACTCAGGTGAAGAGAGGGGCGGAGCTGTCAACTGATCACCACCTGGTGGTGAGTTGGATTCGATGGCGGCGGAGGAAGCTGGACAGACTCGGCAGACCCAAACGTATTGTGAGGGTCTGTTGGGAACGTTTAGCAGAATGCCCTGTCAGAGAGATCTTCAACTCCCACCTCCGGCATAGCTTTGACCAGATCCCGGGGGAGGTTGGAGACATTGAGTCCAAGTGGTCCATATTCTCCGCCTTCATGGTCGATGCGGCTGTTCGGAACTGTGACCGTAAGGTCTCCGGTGCCTGTCACGGTGGCAATCCCCAAACCCGGTGGTGGACACCGGAAGTAAGGGATGCCGTCAAGCTGAAGGAGTCCTTTTGAGCCTAGTTGGCTCGTGGGACACCTGAGGCAGCTGACGGGTACCGGCAGGCCAAGCGGACTGCAGCCCGGGTGGTTGTGGAGGCAAAAACTCAGGTCTGGGAAGAGTTCAGTGAGGTCATGGTGAGAGACTATCGGTCGGCCTCGAAGAAATTCTGGCAAACCATCCGGCGCCTCAGGAGGGGGAAGCAGTGCCCTGCCAAAACTGTTTACAGTGGAGGTGGGCAGCTGTTGACCTCAACTGAGGACATTGTCGGACGGTGGAAGGAATATTTCGAGGATCTCCTCAACCCCAGTGTCATGTCATGTCATGAGGAAGCAGAGGCCAGACAGGTGTGTGGCTTTCCTAATCACGTCCAATCAGTATAATCAAACACAGCTGGACTCAAATGAAGGTGTAGAACCATCTCAGGGATGATCAGAAGAAATGGACAGCACCTAAGTTAAATATATGAGTGTCATAGCAAAGGGTCTGAATACTTATGACCATGTGATATTTCAGTTTTTCTTTTTTAATAAATCTGTGTTTTTCTGTCAATATGGGGTGCTGTGTGTACATTGAGGAAAAAATGAACTTAAATGATTTTAGCACATGGCTGCAATATAACAGTGAAAAATTTAAAGGGGTCTGAATACTTTCTGTACCCACTGTATATAGATTTTTAGTAAAACCTGAAGTTTTTATTGAGTTGATTTTTGCAGAACCCAATTTTATTTTGTAATTTAAGTTATTTCTATAGTTTTGAGCGATAAAATTTATATCAATAGTCATTTTGAGATCTGGAGAAGGCATTTGACCATGTCACTCAGGCATGTCCCACCGGGAGGAGGCCCCGGGGAAGACCCAGGACACGCTGTCTCTCAGCTGGCCTGGGAATGCCTCGGCATCCCCCTGGAGGAGCTGGAGGGAGTAGAGAGGGAAGTCTGGGCATCTTTGCTTAGACTGCTGCCCCCGCGACCCGGTTCCGGATAAGCGGAGGAAAATGGATGGATGATAGTTTGTAAAACAAACAAACGAAGTTACAATCAAGGGCATAGGTATGGTCTCAAGATTTTTCCCAATAAAATTCCCTCACATTATGAAAAAACATATTTCTCCTAACTAAGTACTGCAGTAGAACCAGCAGACGGCCACTGATGTGTGAAGTCATTTTGGTACCGCTACACTGTGTATGAGTTGCTGAATGTTTGAGCAGTAGGCCTCTCTCTATCAGTGTTGCACTTTGTAGACAGTCCCTGACTTGCCTCAGCTGCTGTACACTGACACCAGGGTTGTCTTTCTGCAGCACAGTACAGGTTGGTTTGACACAGATGAGCTTGTGGCTTGTTGTCCACATTACTATGAAACAAAAGAGGCGTTGTTTGTATTTTAGCAACGTTTCACTATTGATCCAGAAACTTTGAATCTGTGAATGCCACTTTACCGAAGTCATCCCACTGTCAGTACACTGACCAATGGCTGCCGCCGTGTCTGGAGCTTTAGGTTGCCCCCTCGTGAGCTTTAGGTCACCCCCTCACTTTCAGTAGGTCAGGCACATCGTAATGATCTAATATGACTTCACTCCAAAGGTAACAGGTTTTGCTCAAATATTGGTAGGGACATGTCCCTACCATTCATATTGAGTACAATAACCTAAGAAAAACCACCCCCATCTGCAGAACCAATGAAAAACCACTGAACCGGTTAAAAGAAAGTGGAAGCAGTAAAAACCCCTTAGAGACAGAACCAGTACCTAAATGTAAACTGGTAAATCATAATTACTATTGTTACTAATAAACATTACCTGGTATTTGTTTTATGACAACTGTCTGGAGTAAATATGCATTTTCTTTTTTAGGTGCGACCTTGACAAGCAAATGTTTTCTCAGCAGATCGCCATGTTGTGCCAAACAGCTATGCGTTGGGGATTTCTTTGGGGTACAGGTCTACAAAATGAAGCAACTTCTTATGCATTGTCCTTGGCTCTACAGGTTTGGTCACTGATGTCCATACGTTGAACGGACATGATCTGAAACGAAAGCATGGCTGTGGTCGACGCTGAATCAAAATTCTGATATTGTGCATTCTGGGACCAGGTCCACTTTACGAACATGTTTGTAGAGTCGAGATGTTTCTGTTCCCTAAGAGCTTGTCGTCATTATGGTTAGTTTTCTAGATGTAGGTTTCCTTCTAGGATTAGCTTAAGGACAAATGTATTGATGCATTAGTCTGAGGTTTAAAATGGCAACATTTGACAAAGTAAGAGCAGTTTGCAATGAAATAGGCTGAGGCATTGAAAGGGTTTTGCCTACTTGAAATTACTTGGTTAATTATCTTCATCTAGAAGGTGGTGTTCACGGTATTATATCCAAATAGGAAGGTTGATGGCCATTTCAACAGTTGTTGTCCTCAGTCTATTGCTTTTGGTGCTTCGGGAGAATTCCAACAAGGACAGGCTAAGAAGTCTTGATTTTATATATATACTTTTTTTTAAAGACCCAAGCTTGCTTTTTGTAGACCTGTACCATATTGTGCTGAGGTGCTGGGGGAAGGCTCCGGATTGACAGTCTGAGTTCACTGTCACTGGCCGCCCTACTTGTTTCTGTTCTAAACCCCCATTGTTCTCTCGGCTTCTCTCCCCCCGGTGTGTGTCGTCTCTGGAATCTGATTTGTAGTGGGTGAGGTAACGTACGTGGATCACTTATTGGACGCAGAAGGCAAATCGAGGGTAAGTGCAAATACATCCAAATAAAAATATGAATAATCCAAGGCAGACTTGTGTTTGTTAGCTTTGGTTTCTTTATTTTCATTGCTGGGAATTGTTCAGATTCAACTGGTGGAGTGTGTGAGATGGAGACATGCTGGAGGCGTGTTTTATTTGGTGTCATCTGCAGGATTGATGCTCTTATAAAAGGATGTCATCTTTCTTCGTAGGCAATCCTGTGAGATTGCAGTAGCTGACAATGTCCCTTTTGGTTGCCGGATTTCCTCCTTATGACCTAAAGGGGTCTAGTCTGCCAGAGGTTGTTACAAGGCTGTTAGATGGTTGTTAAATTTAACTCATTCTGTAGAAATGCTTTACTGGAAGTCACCTCCAATATCTTAGTAGTGGGGAATCCTGTCTCACTGTGGATTTTCTGCCCTTTGGATGTTGGAAATATATTCTCTATATTTACCAGACTTGCCTGCATTGTGTTAGTGACTGTGGAAAAAATGTGATATCCTAATAATGTAATTTTATTTGCAAGCTGTGGACAAGCCTTCTAACAGGATTTTAGAGAGAGAGAAGATGCATGAAGAACGGAGGAGAAGTGTACTAGTGCCGATCTTTAAGAACAAGGGTGATGTGCAGAGTTGTACCAACTACAGAGGTATAAAGTTGATGAGCTACACAATGAAGCTATGTGAAAGAGTAGTGGAAGCTAGGCTAAGTAAGGAAGTGGATATCTGTGAGCAGCAGTATGGCTTCATGCCCAGAAAGAGCACTACTGATGCCATTTTTGCTCTGAGAATGTTAATGGAGAAGTATAGAGATGGTCAGAAGGAACTGCATTGTGTCTTTGTGGATTTAGAGAAAGTGTACGACAGAGTGACGACAGACGAGCTATGGTACTGTATGAAGATGTCAGGAGTGGCAGAGAAGTACGTCAGAGTAGTTCAGGATATGTATGAGAGGAGTACGACAGTAGTGAGATGTGCTGTAGGTCAGACAGAGGAGTTCAAGGTGGAGGTGGGGCTACATCAAGGATCGGCTTTGAGTCCCTTCTTGTTTGCTATGGTGATGGACGGATGACAGATGAGGTCAGACAGGAATCTCTGTGGACAATGATGTATGTGGATGACATTGTGATCTGTAGTGAGAGCAGAGAGCAGGTGGAGGAACACCTGGAAAGGTGGAGGTCTGCTCTGGAAAGAAGAGGAATGAAAGTCAGTC